TGTATATATGTGTATATATATGTATATATGTATGTGTGTATATATATGTATATATGTATGTGTGTATATATATATGTGTATATATGTATATGTATATATATATGTGTGTGTGTGTGTGTGTATTTATAATCAGAATAATTGGCATTGACTTAATTAATTGACTAAATGTTTCAGCAATCGATTTAAGTACCAACAATATATTTATTCAAACACAAACACACGTATTTATATAAATATATATACACATGTGTGTAAATACATGTGTATTTATATATAAATAGATGTATTAATACTAATATAATGTATATATTTGTTACTATTATTTAGTCCTTAAAAAAACTGTCAATTAATGAAGTTACTGTATTTAAGTAAACTGTGTATTTGTATAATATAGATTCATAATTAATCACAAATATCTGGTAGTTCACGCTTTGCTGCTTTTCTCTGTTTTTTGTATCGTGTTCACTTTTGTTGGTCGAAACAAATACTTCATAAACGTCAACATAGACGCACTTATTATCTTATTATCTTGTTATCTGATACTTGATGGATTCAATGAATCATTTCATTTAAAGACGAGTAAAGAAATGAATTGATAATGAAAGAGAGATTCTGTCCATCGGTGCGACCCCATGACCCTCGTCCGTCTCCTGTTAGTGGATCCACTTTGTGATTTGGGGCTGAATTGAGTTCTCGTGATCTTTAACTGCGTTAGAGTCGAGTCTGTTCTTCTGTCAACAGGAAGACGTTCACTCACTAACGTGTTCATCTTCATCTCATGACGCTGACAAACATCTCACTTTATTTAAGAAGCAACAAAACACAACTTCTATCTTTCACAAAGATATTTATGTCAAAACAATGGTGAAACGTGTGTCAGGTTGTTATTTTTCTTTACTTCTTCCTGTTATTTAAATAATAAACGGGCTCATTTTCTACTTTATCGTGTTAAGACAAAATGTAAAAAACATATTTGAGATGTTCGGCTCATTTATTACGCTTTTTTTTTTTTTTTTTTTATATATAAAAATCATTTTTAAATCCTTCAAAGACGGTTTAGGAAAAATAAAATTAATATTTTGTTAATTCATTTTTATTATCAAGCAAAAAACACCCACATTTAGTTTTAGCTTCTCAAATGTGGGAATTTGTTTATTTGATTTTATTTAATGTTTTTGAATATTTTACCTTTTTTTTTAAAGTTTTAAATCTGTTGGTCAATTAATAATATAATAAAGTAATATAAATATATAACATAAAGAGCTTTAGTGGTGATTAAAACAAATGAAACGAGAATAATATGAACAAGATTTAGACTTTAAATAACAACAGTTGTTGTGTAATAAAGTTCAGTTGGTTTGTGTTAAACAACAACATGAAACAAAGTTTAGATTTGTTGTGAAGGGATTTAAAAACGTTTGTAACAGACGTCTGTGAGCACACGTTCACCTCGGTGTGACGTGAGGCAGCAGATTAACTGAAGTATTCAGCAGAGACACAGAAACATGAAGCAAGAAACATGAAGCTCAATAAGTGCTGGAAACACCAAATACTCAGTTTACTGATCAAACAGGCACTTTGTTTGAGGGACTACTTTCAGCGGCGGATTAATCCACATTTGGCGCTCTAGTGAGTGATTTGTATGTGGGATTGAGTCAGAATAAACTGCAGTGTGTGTGTGTGTGTGTGGGGGGGGGTTGCGCTCACCAGGAAGAAACGTTCATGAAGGAACATAAACTTTTAACATTTTAAACACTCTTCTCATTAATTCTGGATGTAAATGATCAAATTATTATTTGTATTATCTTGTTCCTGAGTGAGGAGTTGACTAAACATGACTCAGTATTGATCACATGTGAAGTTAAAGGGGTACTCTGGTTCTCTTCTATCTTTACTTTATTGTCTTTAAATCTCTTGATTCATAGTTTCATCTCCTCAAGCAGCTGCTCACTCAAGTGTTTCATCAAACAGGAGGAAGCACAACATTGAGCAAAAAAGGTCTTTTTCCAAACCAGTGTGTGTACTTTAATGTATTTATTCGTATTGCTTTTAGTTTTGCAAGAGAGAGTTCTTACTGAGTTACATGTTGTGAGTTTAAAGGTGGTTTCAGGTTCCTGTGAGACGATGACGTCATCGATGCTGTCTGACTCGTTCTCTACCAGTAGTCACGTGTGTGTGTGTGTGTGTGTGTGTGTGTACGTACTTAAGGTGTGTCTGTCACACTGGGAGTGCCGCCCTCAGGTTACCTGCAGTCAAACAGTCAAGATTCATTCACTCAACAGCCTGATGCATGTGTGTGTGTGTGTTTATGTAGGTGTGTGTGTGTTTATGTAGATGTGTGTGTAGGTGTGTGTGTGTGTGTGTGTGTGTGTTTATGTAGATGTGTGTGTGTGTGTTTATGTAGATGTTTATGTAGATGTGTGTGTGTGTGTGTGTGTGTTTATGTAGGTGTGTGTGCGTGTGTGTGTGTGTGTGTTTATGTAGATGTCTGTGTGTTTATGTAGATGTTTATGTAGATGTGTGTGTGTGTGTGTGTGTGTGTGTGTGTGTGTGTGTGTGTGTGTGTGTGTGTGTGTGTGTGTGTGTATGTATATGTGTGTGTGTGTGTGTGTGTGTGTGTGTGTGTGTGTGTGTGTGTGTGTGTGTGTGTGTGTGTGTGTGTGTGTGTGTGTGTGTGTGTGTGTGTGTGTGTGTGTGTGTGTGTGTGTGTGTGTTTATGTAGATGTGTGTGTCGCAAGTCAGTCTCCCACCTGAACTCCATATGCAGAGATAAGCAGAATTCCTGCAAACAAACCTGAGTAGAGTTCAGCAGTCTGTTCAGAACTCCGTTGGGTTTGGTGACGTCTGGTGACTCAGACAGTGACGCAGGTTACAGAGTGAGACTGTTGGTTCGTTAAAGAAGTTAATTTAACCCGAAACAAAATAGAAACCAGAAAAAAACATTGTGACTCGTCTCCATTCGCTGAAAAGTAAAACCACATGTGTTGTGTTTGTTTCCAGGCTTGTGACCTCACACCTGCTGCTGATCGCTGGATTCTTGATCAAACCTGAACCCGGAGCAGTCGAGACCCGATAAAGGAACATCTGTGACACTAAAAACCTCCAGAGGAAACGAACAGCTTTGGTTGTGTAATCAGCTGACACGTTACGACGGCTGTGATTGGTCGGTGAACCGGGGAAAATCGGCCTTATTGGTTGTTAGAATTGTTTAAAGGTCGACCCAAATGGCAGCGTCGGAACTGATCCAGGACGACGAGGACGTCCGCCCCCACGTGGAAGTTAACGTGACCACTGCGAATCCTGACACTCCTCCCCATCCTCCGAGGGTCGCCAACGGAAATCCAACCCGCCACACCTCTTCGCCGCCAACGCCGCCTTTACCGCCTTTACCGCCGCCGTCTGCCGCCGCAGCCGAAAAGCAGCCGGAGTGCAGCAAACTGAGCAGCCTGTTCAAACAGAACCAGCTGATCAACTCCCTGAGCAGCGGGCTGAGGCGCCACTGCGACTACGTGAAGATCGCCGTGCCGGATGAGCGGGCCAACCACCTCCCCGCCGAGTGGTGGAAGACCGCCGTGGCCTTCCTCTACGCGCTGTTCATCCTGGTCTTCACCACCGTCATCATCACCGTGGTCCACGAGAGGGTGCCGGACAAGTCGGTGAGCCCGCCGCTGCCGGACAAGTTCTTCGACTACGTGGACCGCGTGCCCTGGGCCTTCACCGTCACCGAGGTCAACGGGCTCATCCTGTGCGGACTCTGGCTCGTCCAGCTGATCTTCCTCAAGCACAAGTAAGTACGACTGGCAGCAGCTGGACCACATGTGTTTGTGGTATCAGTAGAAGTACTCGTAGTACTGGGGAGTTCTGGGGTTCCGATCAGAGACTGGGTTTAATACACAAAGTGAGATTAGTGCGTGACTGTTGATCGGACTGAAGCTAGCCGTTATTTTCGTTGGCGACTTTCTTCTTCTATGAATCGGTTAATTGTTTAGTCCAGGGGTCTCTAATAGGGGGACCGCGGTCCAGGTCCAGACCCGAACCTAAAACCAATAGATAATTGAGAATTATTAACAGGGATGCTATTATTATTATTATCACAAACTATTGCTATCAATATTATTATGATTATTATTCAAGCTGTCTGATATATATTATATTGTATAAATATTAAAGCACTGAAGGTGACTCCACCTGCAGCACAGAGGGAAACATAGAACTTTTATTTTTAATATTTTATTGATGTAAACCTCTTCCTCTCTCTGCAGAGCTATCGTGGGCCGTCGCTGTTTCTTCCTCATCGGGACTCTCTACATGTATCGCTGCGTCACCATGTACCTCACCACCCTGCCGGTGCCGGGGAAACACATGGTCTGCGCTCCAAAGGTACGGATACGCACCAAATACTCAGATTTACTGCACATTTACCTGTTTTCTTGAACGCATCACCAGTAAATGTTTGTTCTGGGTCGTCTCTGTGCAGCTGTACAACGACTCCACGGGGAAAATCTGGAGGATTTTGAGTTTGATCTCAGGAGGAGGTAACAAAACCATTTTGTTTGTTTAGCCACATTTTATAGCATGAAAACAGAAATCCTGCACTGTGATTGGCTGGCAAATTGTAGCTACTTTATACAATTGAAAATGTGAATTACAAATTAATTTTGGGTGCAAATCACAGCTTAAAACCAAAAACATCCGTACTTTTGGGTTGTACAGGCCGCAAACTATCAGGTGAAAGCTAGCTTATGAAATAGTCGTGGCTTCAAGAGTTGAGTGTTTAAAAAAATTCCATTTTGTACATTCAGCTTGTTATTCCACATAATTAAATCAATTCACGATGGAGAAAAAACAGCAAAATTCCTCCTAAAATAAGCTAGCTTAGCATAAAGGTAGCCAGCTAAAAACAATGGTTGTCAGGTTAGTATAAAGGTAGCTAGCTCAGCATACAGGTAGCTAGCTTAGCATGAATGTAGTTAGCTGAGTATAATGGTAACTAGCATAAGGGTTGTTGGCTCAGCATAAAAGTAGCTTTCTCAAAGGTAGCTATCTTAGCATAGAGGTAGCTAGCTTAGCATAGAAGTAGCTAGCTTAGCATAAGATAACTTTAAATAAAATCCATTTAGGTTTTCCAGTTTTAACTCCAGCTCCTCTCTGGGACTCACTGCTCCGTGTCTTTGTTCAGGTTTGTCTCTGACCGGATCTCACCTGATGTGTGGTGACTTCCTGTACAGCGGTCACACCGTCATGTTGACGCTCTCCTACCTCTTCATCCAGGAGTGTGAGTACTCATCCTCATATATATATATATATATATATATATATATATATATATATATATACTGTATGTTTGGTTTGTTAATAACTGGAATTTTTAGTTACAAAGCAGGTTGATTCATTTAAATCCAGGGTTTAATCTATTGGTTATTTATGGGAAAAATGTATTATTTTAATTAAATTAAATAGATTTTAATGAGACATTTTAAACACACGAAACAAAAATAAATACAAATATTTTTTTTACTAACTTTTCTGAATATTTCCTTTACATCTTTGTTGGATGAATATTATCTATAATGTTTTGTATGTATGTGTGTGTCAGACTCCCCCCGGTGGATGTGGTGGTATCGCTGGTTCTGCTGGTTGCTCAGCGCCTCGGGAGTCGTCTGTATCCTCGTCGCCCACGAGCACTACAGCATCGACGTGTTGATCGGATACATCGCCACCACCAGGACCTTCTGGTGGTACCACACCATGGCCAACACGCATGTAGGTGCAGCTAGTAGAGCTAGTAACGTTAGCAGCACCGCTAACGGCTAACCAACGGAGGTTCACTTCAGTTACACTATGATGCCTTCAGGCTCTGCTCAGTGAACATGAGTACTGGCTGAAGGTACATTATAATGTTATCATGATGTGTTCACGTGTCATCTGTAAAATGTAGTTTTGGTGATAAACTAGAATAAATCCAGTAGTTTGAAGGAGATGATTTCACATGAATATAAAATAGATATTGGAGATGAATTATGATGTTTGAACACGAGCTATAAGAACATTATTATACAGCATCATTTGTTTATGCAAATGACAACTATAGAGGACTTAAACAAAGTAAAGGGATAGTATTTCGAGTTCTTTAATGGTTTTACTGACAGTTAGTCTGCAGATTTTTCTCCCCCTGTACTTTGTTTTGTCCATAAAATATCAGATTAAACCCAAAGTGACTCGTTCAAATTGGTGTTATCCAACCAACATATATTCCTTTAATTATCAGTTATGATCTAAAAGCACCAAATAGTCACATTTGAGGAAAAGAAAACGATGAATCGGTTATCGGTTTATTCATTTTTTGTGTGTGTATTTCTTTCTCAGGCGCTGCGTCAAGCTCCCAACAACTACCTGTCGAGGACGTGGTGGAACCCCGTCTTCAACTTCCTGGAGAGGAACGTCCAGACGACGGTTCCCATCGTGTTCTCGTGGCCGGTGGCGCTGCCGTCGTCCTGCAGGCAGCGGTACAGGATGGTGGAGGGGGGGAGGGACGAGTAACGGAGGAGGGCTGAGTCCTGAATGATCGTTTATTTATTTGAAAACAGCATTTCCAGCTCCACGAGGAGGAGGAGGAGGAGGAAGAAGAAGAAGAAGAGACGTTTACATTATTGTGATCTCCTGCTATTTATTCATCGAGTTTAATAATTCATCGTGTAGCATGAATCTGGATGAGTTGTGTTTGATACATTTGAGCGTTTCCATTAAAAACATTCTTATAAGAAATGCATGAAATGAGGAAAAGGAAACATCTTCAGATTGTGAGGCAGTTCAAGAATTTATCGTGGCATTCGTTTGGTTATACTGGCCGAGCTTCTCTTGTGTCCTAGCTGCACTTGTATTTTTCATCCTTGCATCCTTGCATTAACATCTGTCTTGATCTAATTTAAGGTTTAAATACGCTCAATATGCCAAAGGTGTCAGTAAACCCAAACGACCATCCTGCAAGCTGCCGTAATACGAGTTCCAATTCCAGCTGCAGCTTCTAAAAATGGACTTCGGTTGTAGATCCTGCTGCTCAAACGCCAACAGATCCACCAGCTGAAGAGGCGAAAAGCAGCTTTTCATAAGTTTGCTTTGTAACAGCTCGTATGTGTAGACAAGCAGTTGCGATACCGGTGCTGCTGTTCACGTATTTGCCCGTAAATTGTGTGAACCTGGAGGATTAAAACGTTCATCAACTGGCCAAACAACCAGAATATCTTCCAGGAGAACAGAATTCAAACACGAGGATGAAGCGGAAAATAAGTAGTTTCTCTCTCTGACTACGTTTACATGCACACTAATATGCCACTATTATTAACAATATGACAATGTTCTGAATCTGTAAAAGTCATATTCTTATTTTGAATGGAGCGGTTTCTGATTAGAACGTGAGCGATGGTACTCAGCTGTTCGGAGCGTTCTGACATTCGCCACGTTAGCTTCGTGGGAATGTTGCCTTTTTTTGTAATATGGAGCAAAAAAACTGAATATTTTGTGCTGGTTAACATGTTCACTGTTCCATCGTCTGATTAGGACTGGGTTTCACAAATACACAAGATGTTTCTGCTTATTCTGTTTTTCTCATTTACTTAAATTACTCAAATGTTAAATGTTGCTAAACACAAGAAACGCTCCAAAGCCGACAGAATTATGATTTAAATCTGATTACAACAATGAAACTAGACTTTCACTGTGTACACAGTTGGGTCGATGCCATTAAAAGTTTATACCCAGCGTGAAAAACTCAATGACAGAGGACTTCATCTTGTTAGCATGCTAACCGGCGGCGACAGGAGAATTTATTTCCAGAACGGATGATTGGCATCGAAGGAGAAGTTGATCCACGATTCCTCTTCTTGGTGGAGAATGTGGATTTATCTTTAGCGTTGAAGCTAAACGTGGCTGCCGATTTAAAAACAAAACACAAACATCTGTGGCTTCGATTCATGCCGTCAACAAGAAACATATCCTCAAACTGAATTCTGTTGCATTGTCAAATAACAAATGGAGATGTTTTCTTAAATTGTAGACTTTTCTTTACCAGAAAACTGGCCTTGCTGTGGAGGGGAAGCTTGTGGTGTTGAAGTGGGTTCAGTTAGCAACATGCTAGTGCCAACGATGCTAAAAACAAGGTGAGCTCACATGGAGGTCAAAAGTACCACGTTCTGAGTATTGTTGTAAATGTCTTCCTGTACATGATTATTGTTGTTTAAGTTATATTTATATTTATTCAAAATATGTAAAGAGACGCTGAGGTCGGTGGTATCTGTTGTTCTTGATATTAAAATGAATCGTGAAACAATAACTTCTACTCGCTGGTAGAACTGCTGCTGATTTAAAGTTGGACTCATGAAGGTGGTCCTTCCACAAGAGTTACTTTCATCAAAATGTTGCCTGATGTTTCTGGTTCTCACACTTCATCGTAAGTGGACTTGAACAAAGTGTCACAGTCAGTTTGCTTTGATAATAAAAAGATTTATTTTCATTTCTAAGAGTTGGTGTTGACGATTGATTGTTGTGTTCGTGAAACGGTGGTTTTCAGATTATCTCCTCAAGATGAATTTTAAGATCTTTGGTGATCCTTTAACTTTCCATCTAGCTCCATAAGATTAAAACTTAAACATTTATTAATATATATATTTTACTTTGAGAACGAGTATATGCAGACGACACCCCCCTGTCTGTTTGTGTGTTTGTTTTCAGGGGTCTCATCCAGCACTCAGAGTCCAGCTGCAGGAAAAAGAACAAAAACAACACATGATTTTATAAATAAAACATTAAAGTGGTGAACATATCGATCATTATAATGCAGTAATAATTTATAGTAGCAATGGTGGTGGTAGTAGTAGTAGTAGTAGTCACAATGGAAGAAGTAGAAATTGAAGTGATAGTGGTAGAAATGGAAGTAGTGGTAGTAATAATGGCGGTGGTGATGGAGGTGGTAGTACACTAACAAATTTCTCTGTTAAATAACAGTAAAGTGCTGGCAGCAGAGATGCCAGCTCTTTACTGTTATTCTACAGTACTCATACCGTGAAATGGCATAACAGCATAGTACTGTAAAAGTAGAATACAGTATATTTCTGTATTTTTTCAATCTACAGTATAATACTGGCAGCAGAGATGCCAGCAATGTACTGTAATTCTACAGTATTCATACCGTGAGTAAAATTATAATAGTGAGTTTCTGTATTTTTTTCAATTTACAGTAAAATGCTGGCAGCAGAGATGCCAGCAACATACTGTAATTCTACAGTAGTCATACTGTTGAAATATTTCAGTCTATTACAGTAAAAATTAATGCAGTATTTTTCAGTGATTATTTGAAGTAACATTCTGATTAAGGAGTTATATTACACTGTAACCAATTGCTGTTAATTTACAGCCAATTTCTAACAGTAATCTACTGTATTAATGTAATACGGTTTTGTACTGTAGTCTGCAATGCATTGTGGGCTGGCCCATTTGAAGCAACTGCACAGAGGCCCTAAACAGTATCCTAATGTTTTAAATTACAGTACACTACAGTATTTTTTGGAAATCTGCAGTTTTTCCAGAGGACTGACTTCAGAGGACATGTGCTACACATCAACAAGACGTCCTGCTTCATCTGCATCAATCCAGTTGTGTCTCTACAAATTAGACGGTAATTAAAAACAATATTATTTTCCTCTCAGTATGTTATTCATACAGGTAATGTAGCATTACCAAAAATAAGGTTTGAAATCAAACTGATGCTCTGCAAGCTGCCTAGCTAGCCAGTCTATGATTCTAAAATGTCACTTATCAATGAGGTTGAGCTATGAATAGCTCAAACATTTATATTCACATGCATTTTAGAGTCACCGTTTTTAATCAAATGCTAACTGTTTATCATCTTAATTTCTTAAGACTGGTAGCAGTTGTTGCTTGCTAGCTAGCTAGCTAGCTGATACTTGAAGGTGGGAATGGTTCGGGGATCATTTAAAGTAGAAAG